TCTTTTTAAGCTCTGATCAAATTTAAACTGTAATGTATATTTTTAATTATATGTGCACAATGGAAAAAAGTGAAAATTACTGATTCATTTTATAGTCCTATCTGTTTAAGTTATTAAACTCAAAGTCTAAATCAATGTTAACGGCTACAGTGACCCACATGAAACAAAAATACTATGTTGGATTTAAGAAAAAAACAACTTTACTAGTCTCAAGTCGTTACTTGGGGCAAAACTTGGCCTGAGAGTTTTATAAGAGGAAAGAACACATTATTAAACAACCTACTACTACGCTGGTGAACATGACAGGCTCACTTAATTTTTGGTCATACAGTATAGTACATCACCTTATTGAAACGAGAAAATAACTGCAAAGAGATACTTTTCATGTAATTTTAACAGTTTTTTGTTATTAGCACTTTTGGACCCCACACACTAAAACTGAAGCCAACAGTCTCGTATTGTTTTATGCACTGTGCTGAACGTGTTGTGTCATTCCTCACTTAGTCTTGGGGGCTCATGTTCGTGTTCGATTGCTATATTAGAATCCAAAATGTCCTCATTAGTTTTTGGGATCTCTACTGTAGTAATTCACTGTGTTCTGTTCCTCTTTTTCCAATTCATTACAGTAAACACTATGTCAAATGCCTCATGAAGAATTTGAAAAATACCAAGGTCTAGATTTGCTAAGGTTTTGTGCAAATGTGGGCTGTGGTTTTCAATCTATGTGTACTCAGTGTCTGTTTACTAAGACGAGAGCTCATTTTACAGTCAGCTCCTGGATTGATCTTGGTACTGAACCGCCAAGATGCATTCTGTGATTGAGGTAGAACTCACAGCCGCACTTCAGAGGTGGGATTTTTATATGATCACTAAGCTCAGAACAGAAATAATAATGTGGAAATTTGATTACAAAATATTTACTTTGGCTGCAGTTTAACCCCACGTGAGAAAAAAAACTGTTAGCATAACAAAATTATTATATTAAAAATCTTTAGAACACTGATGCTAAACAAAAAGGAAATGAAGTATGGGGCAAATCAAAGATGTACAAAACATACACAAGCACCACAACCAGAAGAGGGAGAGAAAGAAACCTGGTCCAGCAGCTCGGAGAAGGTGGAGGTGTGGATATGATTGTTAATGCTGAGGTAAATGCAGCTAATTCTCATCTACTTAGAGCTGTTTGGTTGCAGCCTGTAGTAATTGTACATCACTCACTGATGGTTAAGTTTAAATTCTAGTTTGATGAAAACAAACCACAATTCCCCAAACATTATTCTTTTGTGTTACAGTAATCAGACATTGCATTAATTAATAACTGCCTAATTTATTTTTGGGTCTACTAATGAGGTTTTAGTTACATATAAGCTACACTTAAATCACATTTATTTACACCACTACAACTGTACTCGTGGCTCTTATAAACCCCAAATGTGCTGTTTAAACCTCCTTTTCAGGGAATTTTCTTCCGCTAAATTGACAGTCGCAAATAGTGTGACCAAATGCATAGTTATCCTCTGTAAACATGTCTCCTCCTATTATTGGCATGATTCTCTCTTATATGCATATGCATTGAACAGTGAGATGCAGGCTGACAAATGCACAAACTGCGACTCCAGCCTGCTATGACTGTTTGATACATACTGTATCATAGGAGGCGAAGAGACACTTGGCATGATCCCCAATAATGCCCCTCTGGGTGGGCTGTATATAGTTATGGCTTGGCGAGGTTGAGTGTGCATTAGGGTTCAGAGTGCTGTTGGTTCTGTTGTCTGTATGATAATAAAGTGAGAAAAAGACAAGCTCTGGTTTCTCAACCCTTCTTTACCCAGCCTGCACTGCGATACCATATAGCCATGTGTTTAGAGTCATCTCTTTGCCTGTGAGTAAATTTAACCCCACATGTAAATGGTCTTATACTTGTACAGCGCTTTTCTGTGCAATGAAGCACACACACCATTTTCCTCCATTCACCCATACAAACATTCACACACTGATGACACAGCCACCAGGAGCAACTTGGGGTTTGGTGTCTAGCCCAAGGACACTTCGACATGTGAATTGGAGAAGCTGGGACTCAAACCACCAACCCTCCGGTTAGGAGACAACCCACTCTACCTCCTGAGCCACAGGCTACCTTGATGTTTTCTCTTGCTCTCCAGTCTTAGTGGTTGGAGTGGTATAAGTGTATTCAGATTGTTTTCTTAAAGCTACAGTGTGTAACTTTTTCAAATATGTTTGCTGCAGAAATGTAGCAAAAGTAAAAGTACTCTTTATGCAGAATTGCACATTTCACATTAATGTTTATTATTGGATTATAAAATTATTGATGCATTGCTGAAGCTGGTAAAGGTGGAGTTAATGTTAACTAGCTTATGAACTTACTGTTTAATTTGACTACACTTTACATACTGCTGGGTAGCTTGTGAATGTCCCAGCAGGGATCAATAAAGTTTAATTCATCAGATTTTCAAATGTAACTAAAGTTATCATTTTTAGATTCAGGGTGTGAATGAATATATTGGAAAGATTTAAGCATGTTTATGTCTGTTACCCATCCTGGTGTCACCTTTCAGGCGGTTTTTCTTTTTTTAATTCCTATCCCAGTGAGAACATTTCTGCCTTTTACAATAATGTTAAGCCTCTCTTAAAGTCAGAGAGAACCCTGCTAATACAATCTAACCACAGAAGAGCTCAGTCAATACTCTAGACCTAATGCTGATAATACACTCTAACCACATACAGGTTTAATCATGCCCTCAGGCCTAATACCACTAAGAGACATTGTGAATAGAAACAGTGTTTGATGATGTGTCAAGACTAAAACAGCTCATAAAGCTGTTCTTAACTGACATTGAAGTAGGCAAATCTACATGAGAGAAGACTTATGAAGAATTATGAGCCTTGGGAACATGTGTAATTCACAAGTTTGCACATCCAAGTTTTTAATATGTAAACACTTCAATGAATTCCTCATATATAGAATGTGACAACTCCAAATCCTTAATAATCATAAGGGCACCGGTAAACTAAGGAGTACCATAAAAACATATTGTGGATCCAGCTCGTATCTCCTTCCAGTGTCTTCAAGTTTAACACATGAGCCTCACTCTCTTTATTACAGCACATATTGTATGTATTTTACTTATTATTAGCACATATTACAACTAATAATCACGTATAAAACTAAGGATAACCTTCAGATACAACAATAAACTGTTTTCGGTTGATTAGAGGGTTAACAGAGGCAGAATTGATCCTTTTGTGGCTCAATTTCCTGTGTATTCATTCATCCGTGGATAGCCACTGCAGCAGGGGCACCATCAGCAGTAATCGAGAACATGGGTAATAAAACTCTGCAGGGATGTTATTGCTTCTTACAACGTTTAACACTTCTAGCAGCTAAGTCAAACCTTGCTAACAATAATAAACCAAGAATTCAAATCCGTCTTGTCACTCATGTTTTTATTCCAGCCTCGTTCTTGCACACCTCATATAATTAAGAGCTACACATTCCCTGACACCTTAATTGGACCAGGTGTGCATGGCTGGAACAAAAGCTAGGTGCGCTTTGTGGACTGCACTGAGAAATCTTGGGCTTTGCAGTGCAGCATAAAAATGAATATGGACTAAGATGTATAGAGAAAAAAATCACCATTCAGAGTAGTTGCTTTTGTGTCAAACAAAGACGAGGGAGTCGCCAAAGTGTGAAAGCCTCCCAGAAATATTTGTTTAATTCTGAATAGCTTTGCAATCATGCATTCTTCTTGATGAGTGAACAAACAAAATCATACCGATGTAATGAAGGGTTTGACATTAACAGAAACTGTATATACAGGTGATACTGAGGTTGTGGTTTGATACTCTGATACTTCTAGTTATATCACTGAATAATGTCTGTGCAGATTCTCAGTCATCCAGGTCATAGTAAGCTGAAAAAAAAACTTAGAAAATTTTTTTCAGATCACTGGATAATATTTGCAATTTGCTCTTCAAAAATGTAGGTAGCTGTGAACATGAGAGTACAGAGTAACATGTTTTGACAACACTATCCGCACTCTTTTGCCTCTGTTACACAGAGATTAGGCTACATTATATTGGCTGGCCCCCCCTTTTTTTTTTTTTTTTCTTTGCCTATTTACACTGAAAAAAAGCTGGCATAATGCCACCCCCTGTTCTTTTTACACAGATACCAACATTCTGCTCTTGGTTCATGTTTATACATCTCCAGGGGGAATACATCAATTCAACACTGGCATTAGAGGCGCGATGTTTAATGTGACGTCCATTGTGACATCACAATGTGTACAGTATATCACACACACCTGAAAAGCATATCAGGAACCTTGATTTCAATCTGCCAATGGCAGATGAACAGAGTACGGATGTGTTTTTGCCTGCAATGCACATTTACAATATGATTCGGACTCAAAGTGTACAACATGTTAATGGTTATGGTCATGGATACTGATTCTTGTGAGCAACATTAAAAAAATTTTATTGTACCTTTTATCTTATCCTAAATTTAAATGCCCCGGAGGTGCATTGCAGAAACAACACTTCATTAAAACTTCATACACCTCTGCCCACAACCCCCAAGCCACCTCTCCCCACTGAGGTGAAATGGTTGCACCGACTTTATTACCTTTTGTGGTGGAATAAAGGAAGGTCAGCACTGGCATGCCACGAAGGCTTAGTGCCTTTTATACAGAATGGCGCTGTGGAAAATTGGTGCAATAATCCCGCTCTAAACGAGAGTTGTCAAAAGGGTTTTGCTATCGTTCAAATATTTCAATAATGACATAATATATTGACCTATTACCTGCTTAGAAGCAAATAGCTAGCTGCACAGTGGGATCCACAGATTTAGAGATGTACACTACTTACATTTAATTTATATTTAAAGACTTGGGATTGTAATATGTCATTTGAGCCCAAGACACTGAAAAGCAGAAATAGTCTTTACTACTGTGTGATTGTGTGTCTGTGTGCACACATACCTTGAGATAGTCTCCATCTTGCAACGAGAAGCTCTCAGCTTTCAACCTGATTCCTTTGCCCTTTTCAGTAGTGATGTGGTAGATGCACTCATGGTTGTTATCGTAGTCAGAAGGGAAGTTGGGAGAAAGGAGGACGCCTTCTGGGCCCAGTGAAGAGGCTCCACACTCAGCTGCAGCAAGAGAGGAAAGGGGACAGGGACACTGTGAATCAAAATCACAGCGATTCTTGCTAAATAATTTTGAGCAGTTAGAATTTCTGAGTTGACTTGTTACGTAAAAAACTCAGAGTCACAATTCTACATGAAAAGATTAGAGAAAGGTGTATGTCCCGTATAACTACAAGATATATTTAACTGAGCAGATGCGATAATAATAATAATGAAGCAATCTGTCCAATGTACTCTAAATAAGACATTAAAAATAAGCACTTGGGACAGAAAAACACTACAAGCACAGCAATTACATATAAAATGCATAAAATTAAAAGCAGAAGAAATGAAAAACACTTCATGAAACCATGTCTGGATTAGTTTGTTAGAAAAAGTGCTTTATAGAAATTATTGTAAATGATCTACAAGATGCAGTGCCTATCAAAGTTTAGGAATTCAAATATGTGATACTTTGTGCAAATAGATTCTTGTCATATGTAAATGAGGATAGGAGAAAAGAAGCAAGCCGACAAAGCTCTTAACTCCCATTGAGGAGTACCCCCACTACTACAGGAGAAAGAGGACATGCAAATAATGAGACAGAGAAGAGAGAAGGTGATGAGAACAATATGGAACTATAGTACAGTACAAAGAATAAACTATGCAGTATTTATGAAGTCTGAACAAATATTAGACTCAAAACAACATTTTGTAACCATTCTGTAATTTTTAAAGCAGATTAGGCAAAGAGATATTGAGCATGCATTCAAGAAGCCTGCCAGCAATTCTTCAGAAATTCTTTTGAAAGTGAAGGCAGTGCTATAGAGTGGGAGTGAGAGAGTACAGGAGAATGAAAAGGAAGAAGAAAGACGTGAGGAGAGAGCTGGAAGGGGAAGAAAAGAGGAGAAGAAAGCGGATGAACCAGGACAATCAAGTGCTATTTGAAAATATGCAGAGAAATTAGACAAGAGAAAAGGGGAGTAACAAAAGACACAGTATTAGCACTTCTCATAAAGCAGCTAATGCCCTAATTATCTGCCCAAGGACTGTAAATGCAGGGGGAGAGGAGAAGAAATGGTTAGAAAGTTAAAAACTGAGAGCTAAAGAGAGGGACATTTAGAAAGAAAGGGAGAGAGATGAACCCAGTGTACATTGCCAGCTGCGTTTGCTCAGCTTCCTCTTAGGCTTGATCTCTTGACAGATGATGTAGCAGTTTCAGTCTGTTTTTTGGGTCTTAGTCACCAGCAGCCACCATTCAGACTCATAAATCACCACTTGCATCCATGCAGCTTCCTCATCTATTACCAGCAAATTACAACCCAGTAACAGAATAAATAAAACCAACAGTCAACCAGTTAAATAACAGTAAATTACTCCTATATCTGTAATAAAATACTTGTATATTACAACTAGTAAAATGCTAATACTTTACCTCTTGACTTATTCATATGGTGGAGAAGTTAATTTGAAAGTTTGATTTTATGAGATACCACTTATTTTCACAGAAGATAAACCACTCCAAAGCGATAAATACTGAAGGCAGAACTACTTCTCAAAGGCTTGTGACACCATTGCTATATATAATGGTGTGCAAACAAAGCAATGCTGTAGAAGAAAATTTTAATAATCTCCAACCTCTAAACAATATGTGTGCGTCTGAAATGTTACGCTATATGCTCAAAAAATTACTTTGATGTGTTTGTATGTGGTGCCAATCATTTAACATTAGTTACTAGTGACTAGTCAGTGTCTGCTTGACTGTCTTACCTATACATCGTGGCAGAGTGTTGCTCCAGACTCGCCTGCCTCCTCCCAGACATGTGATCTTGCTGTCTCCCTCAAGTCGGTAGCCATGGAAACAGGAGAAGGCGAGCGAATCGCCAACTTGAAATACTCTGTACATACATTAGAGATAAATAACACTGTTGAGGAGTCCTAATGAAAAGACTCAGTTGGTGAGAAAGTTACAGGTACTGTGTGAATGCTGTCCAGTTAGCCAAGGATAAGGAATTTAAGGTAAACAAAAAAAAAATTAATTACATTTAATAGTCTGGGCAAAGAAGACGTTAAACATGGGACTGTAACGCATTAGCCATCAGGCATACTGCATGTATTACACTTTCAGGTTCATATTTTTATTTCAGAGGTCTACCAGAAAATGTTTACATGCTTTAAAGTTCATAAAACGCTTTTTTTTTAAAATATATATTATCTTTTACTGCAGCACCTGAGCAGGAACTGCCTACCAAGTCCAAACCACAGACGGCTCAAGAGAGCTGGATATATTGTAGCACCACCACAGAGCCTTGTTGCCAAATTTTCCCACTGGCCTCTCACTGTATTGCAGCCAGCAAATCACCCTGCAGACCAAAAACCATTTCCCCACATAGGCCATTATTATAAAAGAGACACTCATTAAATTACTGATAGGATACTCTGAAACAGAAATAAGCTCTGGTTTCACTATTTCTACTAAGCATTCTTAATCCATGGAGGTTTTATATTTGTAAAACTCTTCCAGAGAAAAGGGAGTTTTATTTTTGTGACGTCATCACAATATAAAGTGGATGGGTAGAGTGGGAATGTGTGGGCGGAACACTAATGTTCAGTGGGTCGAACACACCGCTGTATTAAAAGTGCTGGATACAGAGTTGCCACTCAGTCTTCCTTCATATTTCCCCCAGAGGCCACTCATGTTATTGTAATGAACAATCTCCCTGTGGCCCATAGATAGAACAAAATGAAATGTCTGTTAAGTTGCGGACAGGACACCTCAAGCAGCACTGCTAACAAAGATGGCAGTTTTCCCTGAGCCTTTCCTCGCCATTTATAAATCTCTGTCACATAATTAATTAGCATGTGTTTATTGTTATGTATAAACTTTCCAAATGGTAAACATATACTCCATTATGTTATGCTTGAATTTACACCTGTGAAGAATGACCTTTGAAAGGCCTCTGAAGTAGAAAGCTTTTGTTATGAGGAGATACAGTGGAAATGTGTTAACAGTAATGTTAGCATCAACTGTTTCTGCAATTACTGCCCTCTTCCTTAAGCACAATGATGCACGATGTTAGCACACAAGAATACACAACCTTACTCGCTGTTCAGTCTGTCAGTCTAGATCAAAAAAGTGTGGTCTCCATCCAGCTAAAATGGGAAGTTATTTCTATCCTGTAAATAGAGTTTGACAGATTTTCACTTAACAAAACTTTTAGCTTTTGTTTTGATGTTCTTACCTGAGAAAGTAATATTAAAGCCTTCATAACTCATGGAAAAATCTGATATAAATCGCAGCTGAGCACTGAAGTTCCCATAGAGTCCTGCTTTTACACTAGGGGGCAGAACTGAGCCTGTGAGTCGAGCTACTGGGACCTGGAAGTTCCCGTCTTCAGTGATGGACAGGTAGTCATGGTTCTCCTCCAGATGGAACGTGTGGAAAACCAGATGGACTCCTGAAAATTCATGGATGAATGAAAAGACAGATGAATGGATGGATAGACAAAGGCATGGATGGATGGATATATGCGCAGTAAAAGACAGAATTAGTCACAGATACACAAATTGCAGTAGATGAACAGAGAAAACAAACCAGTAAGACAAAACACATACCAGCTACTATTTAGAGCGTGAATGTACAACACTCTTCAACATATGCTAATTGAAAATTATATTTTCTAACATATGAAGAAAAAAATTTCAACAAAATAGCATTTTTGTAAAGCAAATTAATGGGTGTTTCCATCGTGTTTGCCTGTTTTTACCTTTCCCATGAGACACTTCTATAGTCCAGGTGCAGTTAAGAGAATTGGGGTAGAAGTCAGGAAAGCCAGGAGACAGAATAGTCCCTGTCTTACCATAAACATAGCCTCCACAAACGGCTAAGAAGAAAAAAATGACAGACAAACAGAGAAGGGTGGAAAGGGAGTAAACATCTCTGTTTTATCACTGTACAAGTTCTTTGCACTGAGCTATAAAAAGACCTCAATAAATTCTGAAAAATAAAGATGTGTTCAGTACAAGTAAGAAGTCACCACATAATGAAAGATTTAATTGCTGTAAATATCCAATGTTAGTTAAAATGGACTGCAATTAAACCCTTTTAGCTTTTTTTTTTAATCTGCAGAACTGCTAATTGCCTGAACTTAGTGAACTGAGCATATAGTACTTTAGCACGTAAAACATTAAAACAGGATAACTGGAGGTATATACAAGAAGAAAAAGCTGAAGCTGAAGAACAATAATAGAATATTATTTCCCAGTGTTGCAATTGTTTGTATTTTATACAATTTATATAAATGTCATTTAAGTGATGAGCTCAAATAATCAAAAAAAGAGACATAATATTAATAATATTTATATTTCGATCATATAGCATAAATTTGAGTTCCTGTTGATTTTGAGAGAAAAGTACTGTACAACTTCAAACTGAGTACAAGATTTAAAAAGCAGCTTCAGCTTCTGCAGGGACAAAGAAACTAAGTGTGAAGGCCAGAAATGCATTTAATGTAGAAACAATAGGAAGCTGAGGAGAGAGAAATGTGACGGAGAAGGGAGAGCAGTTTGTTGAAAAAGAATGAGCGATGTGTGTGTGTGTGTGTTAGCAGGCACCTAACGTAGCCTCCACACAGAGCTACACTGCTGATATGGAACAGGACAAACTCATCTGGGACAGAGCAAAATGGAAAATACTATAGTCATGTAATGGAGAGTAAAAGAGGGCTTGCAGTGCATTAGATACTGCTGAACAAAGATAATATATTGACTCTTTGTTTCTCTCTCGCACTGTGCCTCTGTCTCTTTCAGTTCCATTCATCTCAATTCAGTTAAATTGAATTCCAATAAAGTGCTTCAAGGTGTTTGACTGGCATGAAAATAAAAAGGACTGTTTTTCTTAGCTATTAAACAAAGACATCCCAGATGGAATCAGACCATATTTTCTCTCTTCACTGTTAACGTCCTTCTTATGTGTTGGCAGTTCAATATTTGGTTCCTTTTAGCGCCTAAAACAAACACTGCGACAATTAAAGTGTTGAAAAGTTTGTAAAATATCAATTTGTTATTTTGACCGACAGATGTTGCAACTTCTGTTATTTCATGATCCCGCAGCTACTCCAGTGTCTCGAGTGTCTACACCTTCCACTCCCTATCTTTATGTTTATCAATGTCCTTCCCTCCATTTTGTTCTATAGCATATTTCACCAGAGCTGGAGTTGAGCTGAAGAGCTGTGCTGAGAGCTGCGCTCCCTCTCTCTCTTTCTGACCAACTGTCTTGTGTTATGTCGCAACCAGCGCCAGATTTTTATTCGCTATCCCATCAGGGTTCAGCGAGAGCTAGGACACTGTCTGACTAAATGACCTTAAATGACCTTTGCTGAAGGAGGCACGAGTGCATGTCTGTGCATACTGCATCTATTTTGTGTGAGAGTACTTACTTCACTATGCATGAATGATCTGTGTGTGAGACGACAGAGACAGGGTGTTAATGTATGTGTGCGAGAAAGTGTGAAGTATATAACAATGCGAGAAAAAGAAAAGAATCAGACAGAAAGGAAGGCTGGGTGCAGCTGCCTTCAGTGTTGAGAGCAGAAATATAACACTGAATATTGAAACGAGCAGATACAGAAAGATATGTTATTTATCAAGGAGTGCAGAGGTAAATAGAGAATGATATTATACCAGATTTCAGCTACACTCCTCCTTGTTCCTGCCTCCATGTTTTCTCTATCTTTAATTATCTCCTTCTTAAAGGGTGCTATAGCATTTTTACGAAAAGTGATACTGTGACTTTGGTCACTTCTTACAAGTTGTTATCTGGGCACCAACTGCAAGCTTTAAAATGCCACAGTGCCCCTTCACTATTCTTCCTGACACTTAAAAGAGCAGCCAGTGTTCTGTATTATCTGTTTGGCAATTTAGCTGACCTGCAGGAATAAGATGAGTAGTTTGGGTCCAACAGACACTGTGGGCATTACTAAGAAGGAATGGTGTGTGCATGCCTTTGGGAGGACTACATATCATTTTGTTTTTTTCTTTTAGACACAATATGGTCAATATAATGACTTTTGGTAGCTGTGTAATGCAGTGTATACAGTAGTACAAAAGGTCTAAAAAAGAAAAGTTTGACTTTTCCTGTTGAAATGATAACTGTGCCTCTGAGACGATACTGTAAGTAAGATCATTATCACTAATGTTCGCGTGTTTGAATGACTTGTTTTAAGTATGACTGCGGGAGCTTTTAAAGATGATTTCCTTTTCGACCGTTGGTGGTGCAGTGGCTAGCGCTGTCACTTAACAGCAAGAAGGTTCTGGATTCAACCCTCACAGCCAACCGGGGCCTTTCTGTGTGGAGTTTATGTGTTCCCTCACGCCTGCATGGGTTTTCCCCAGGTGCTCTGGCTTCTTCTCACAGTCTAAAGACATGCAGGTTAGTTTGACTGCCTGTAGGATTACATCAAGAAGAACATTTGGCATAAAAACAGTACCAAACTATGGATCAAGTGAATCTGCTGTGGTGGCCACTGGTGCGAAGCAGCTGAAGGAAAAAATGTACTTTTCTCCTCTAAAATGAAGTGAGATCCATTTCCAAGTGTGCCTTTTTCTTTGTTGTGGGGGTTTTTGCTATGGTTTCCTCCCACAGTTCCAAAAGATGAAATGGACATGTGAAAAGGTCAATAAGTAGTAAACAAGTAAAGTAACAGAACAAATAAGATAATAATTAATCAAAAGTCAAAAAGCTGACAGTTAATTTTAGTCCTATGATCTCTAAAATCAAACAATGGCATAGTAAATTTTAGTCAAGGCTCGGGCAGTGTATTAGAAATGTGCCATTCTGAAATAGTGTGTCTCGTAGTGTGACAGCTGTCTGGTGAGATGGTATGCTCAGCTGAAAATTGAAAATGCCACAGTGGTCGTTTAAAATGGCCCATGCTATGTGGCTGATACTGTGAGATAGATTGCTTCGGTATGAACTCACTCCCAAGTTGAAACATCCCGACTTTGGCTTTCAAATTGGACTCTTTTCAATCGGCAGATCAAATCAGATACTATGTATTCATCTCCCATGATAGTGCGAGCTGTGGGCAAATCCTGAATGAGAAAGCCTGCGAGTGGCCATTGAGCATCTGTTTCAGTAGTGCCTGTTGACCCATATAATGTCACTGAGGCTGGATGTCTAACTCGAGGCACTGCGGTTATGTGTGCCCTGTGGAGACTGGTGGTACAATTAATATCCTAGTGAACTGGGAAAAAAGCAAAAGACTGGGAATAGCATTTTGTAATATCTTATTATGGACTCTCCTCTTATCTCTTGCACCTCGGGCTCTCGGGCTCAAGCCCACATTGTTCAGTAATTTTATTTCTTGTTTTTATGGTGCTTTTTTTTTTTTATGTTGTTTGGACCAAGTTTTTTTTTATTTGTGTTATGCTATTTAATTGAGGAACAAACTGCTAAATGATACTTCTAATATGATACTTCACTATACCCACATTCCCCTTCATACACAAACACACAGAAGAAGCGAGGTCCTGAAAAACACTTCCGGGGGGAATTGCAGCTGTGCCAAAAAAGAGATGCGTGCGAACGCCTGACACTGCTGCAGTACTGGTCATGGTCTGCTACATTCTGCCTGATTATTGTCAGATGTAAGCGAGCCTGACTACTGGCTACAAATCTAACTTTACCTTCTAAGCGCATCTGGTCTGTGCCTTTTCTTTGTACTTGGATTGCAAATCTTTCCATCAGTGTCACAGTTAAGAGCTCAACCTGACACTTATATGTTGTAATGTCTCAGTCACCTAAAGCAAATCAGGTGAAACAAGTCACAGAGCAATTTGTTCAGATTTATTTACATTTACAATGTTATTAAAGACTGATGTGCATTTGCTAATAGCCATGACAATGGGTAAAAGCAGAATGATTGTGCTTGAAGAAAGAGCTAAATAAAATGCAGTAAATGTCTAACAAACTGCAATGTTTATCAGTGTTTCACAGTTTTGAATGGGCAATGTTTATTTTATTCTGCAGTGATAGATTAAATTAACCACTATCACAGTCATATATATAAAGCATAAATTAAAGCATTTGATGGAAATCTCAGAGGCTCCAAATTGCCACAACAAGAAGTTGTGGCTAATATTTCTTGGCTGCAGTGTTTCACTGGAAAAGTGAAAAACATCATCTCTAACACTTGCATAATTAATCAGACCCTTGTTTTAGGATTAAATTCAGGTCATGATCACTGTCTTTTACCAAGCATTTATTTAGAAATCTCTTTACAACTGTTTTTTATAAGCATGTGTGGAGCAAAAGGCTTTGTCCTCAGGAAAACAAACATGGTGACAACACAGACCTGCCTGTTTGTATAGAACCTGTGGCTCTTCAGCCACTCTCTAGTCCATCCGTGGCTCAGTGGCCACAGCTATGCCTGCTAAGTAGAGCTAGCTAGCTGGCACATTAGCAGGTCATCACATCTCTGAAAACGTCTAAACTGGTGTTACCTGGATCGACCGATCACATATTCAAAAACTAGATTGTTCATTTCTCAACTGAAAAATATCAAAACTTAATAAAGTGGCATAATAACAGGCCTAGTACAAAAATTATATGGCTATTTATTTCATTTGCACGAACATAAAGAGGACAGGCCTGCATGACATTTATAGACACTCCGTTTATAAGTAGCAGGTTTTATCCTCCACTGCTCAATCAATGTTGTTTTGTTGAAAATGGCATCTCCCACTTAAAATTATGAAAGTGTTATCTAATATCTTTCTTGTTTTAGTTCAATAATTTTATAAATGCACAAAAACACTGTGTTATTTTAATAGGGATGGAAAGATAAAGTACCAAATTATCCAGATATTTTTTTCTTTCTGGCCAAAAATGTCTCTTCAGATAATAAAGCTTGCTCACCCCTGGTATAGACAATGGTGTGCCTTCTTGAAAGAAACATTACAGTGTTACAGGACCACATGCTGAATGTTAGGTGGTTTAAGGTTAGGGGAACACTTCAGGAAATTAATGTAAGTCAGACGCTGCCTTCACTGAAGGTTTAGGTAGAAATCTGAAGAGTCTGTGAGATGAGTCTCAGAGTGTGTTTGTGTGTTCTTGTACTTGCTACATAGTGAGGACCAAAAAAGTATTTTTTTGCTACTGAGCGAGGACATTTTGGCCGGTCCTCACTTTCTGAAACACATCATTTAGTTCTGATAGTTAAGATTACGATAAGGGGCCAGTGAATGCATTAAATCATGAGCATCCTCACAAAGATAGAAGTATATATGTGTGCGTGTTTCTGATACTAAAGGTTCCTAAAGGCTAAAATGAAAGATTCTCACCATCACAGCTGGGAAGAGCATGACTCCACTGATGATTCTGCTCACAGACAATCGGCTCCTGATCACTTAGTGTATATCCCGGGTCACATGTAAATGAGACACGGGAGCCAATTGAAAAGCTGCTGCCATGGCGACGACCGTTGACTGGAATACCAGGATCAAGACAAGAGTCTGACTCCATTTTCACACCTAAGAATCACATCACACAAGCACAAGTACCTCAGAGTCAAGAGGGCGAGTGTTTATGTGTAGTGGGTAATTACACCTTTTTAAGATATATATGTGCTTAGAGAACATAAAAAAACATTGTTGCTCTGTATGAGTGCCTTTAAGCAATTCAGTGTGTGTCTACCAGCCATTTCTATCAGTCAGTCCATCAGCCTTACTTTCATATCTGATGCTGAAGCCAGCTGCAGAGCGGCTGTTGTCTGTGGTGAATAACAGGAACAGGAAGTTGGATGTGGAAATCAGGAAATGAGGTGCTTGGGTACCATGGTATTCACCGATCAGTGGGGAGGAGGCTGAGGGGCCATCCCTGATTTCCAGTGTGTCATAGTTGACCTCAGTCTGGAACCTAGATCAATGCAAACAAAACCAAAAATGTGTGCAATAACCTGACATACACAAAGATATCACCTATATGACTGGTATATACTGTATAATGTGTGTGCCAGCTAATGCAACTAACAATATATAATAATACATACAGTGTTTATGCTGCAAGAGAACTCAGGTCATCCACTGTATGCTTTGCTAAGTAAAATAACAAAAGTGCTTGACTTTCATCCTAGCTCCCTATTTAAATAACTGAACACTTAATCACAAAACCGTATGTAACCAACCTGTGTAACTGACTTATTACTTCCCTCTCACTCACTTTCTTTACTGCTTGTACTCCAGTCTGAGTAATTTACTTCTTGATTGACTGAGCAATTACCTACAGTTGTGGCTGCAGGGCCCTGACATCCAGAGCTGGTTCTTGAGACCCTGATTGTTGCTGGCTATCAAAATAGCACCAAATAGCAACTGATTTAGAAAAGCACATCACATAAATGCAATTAGATAACTAATGGGATAGAAAACCAAGAGTTGGGAGCCACTGACATCCAACAACAGAATAATACTCTAACTGAACAATTCAGAAGCCTCTGCACCAGACATTTGCATGCAGTGTTGATGCTGAAGCCTACAGAAATGAAATGCCACATAGGTGATAAAAATAACTCGGCTTTACATCACTTCACAAAAAGGCAAATTTCAGCTAAAGCAATTTCAGGTTATTCTGTGCCTGCTCATGGCTAGTAGATAATTATGAACTACATTTATAGCCAACTAACTTATAACGATTCTGAACTAAATATTGTAGAAGCTGACTAACATCACAATTGTATTATTCGACTCAGAACAATTAGACTAATTACCCAAGTACCTCATGAGAAAACTTTAACACACCTGACAAACATCACTCTGTAGCTACACAGGCAAGTAACTTACCTGTCAAAGTGTATCTTGACAGCATGGTCTGTCTGAGCTTCAATCACCCACTGGCAGCTCAGCGAGTCTTTATAAAAGGAAGGCCAACCAGGAGACAGCAGAACACCAGTGGGAGCTGTGAGATGGCCTCCACATGGAGCTACAGGGAAATGACGACACACACAACCCCAGACAGAAGGAAATTAATCATTTCTTCTTGTAACTCCGTTATAGCATGAGCACAACACTCATAATTCATCGAGTTAGCAGATTTATCATCTGCTCAATTTATTTTAGCTCTTTAATGCATTAGGAATTTCTAGTTTTCATACATAAATATTTGCCTGCAGAAATTATGCTGTGCCAGTCTGGTGCTACAGTCATAATTTCTGAGTTGCACATATTTGGAGAAAAAAAACTTAAATAATTATAGGATGACAGGAAAAATCAAACATATTTATGTGCCAAATTATGCCAAAAAAAGCTCATTTCCCTGCATCTCACAATGTTAGGGCAGCAAATCTGGCACATCATACATGATGCAAATTTATAACTAATAGTCTCGAAATCACAATTATAGTACATTAAAATACAATAAAAAAAAATAAAACATTTTATATAACTATATTCAGTTTGGTTTTCACAGATGTGTGCAAAAACTTTAGACCTGGAGTTCATGATCTGTGTATTATATGTTGCTCTCTCTACAATAAATAATCTGTAGTGGCTAACCTTTTGCACTCTCACCACTTCTTGTTTTCTCAGGAAACTGATACCTTCACCCTTTAATTGCTCTCCTAACTTCAGACTTTTACCACACTAAAGAAAATCACTTTTCTTTCCCTCACTTCATTTTGCCCACTCTGTGCACTGAAGCTGTATAATGTAGTCATTCTAGAAATAAAACATAATTATCATTCCCAGTCCAACAGGAGGGATAGTATTCTCCCATACTCCATATTTAATAATTTGATTGCCTCCTCTATCCCATTTATTAATAACAGGCAACATTTGATAATGTCATTTAGACAATACAATCAAGATGGAGGCGATACAGAAAAGACACAAATGCTCACAGGTCAGTGGTTCCCAATTGCCCTCAGAAAGTGCTGAATTAACAGTGCAGTCACTGTCTTGTTATTATCACTTCCCCATATTAACGTATCTGCATACTATGGATACATTTTTGTGAAGAATGTCTCCCAGTTTCAGCAGAATTTAAGATTATTATTGAGAGTTGCGAACAGGCTGAATAAATGTGGTGAAACTTGCAGTTAAAGCAATTAGAAGAGAAAACATACTATTTCTAAGGTGCATAATCACATTTAAGCTGCACAGTAAGAACCAATAGTTGAATGCATTGTCATTCTTTACAATCTCTGCGAGTGGATCATTTTGAATGATACCAAGTAAACAGGTTGTACAGTATGTGTATGTGTATGTGTGTTTACCTTCACAGCGAGGTACAGCTGCAGACCAAACAACATTTCCATCCTGGATGATGCAAGTGACCTGATCTGACCCCTGGAAATATGACAACAGTATATGCTAAAAAGGTTTGTTACTGACAGTATATGCTTCTGCACACTTATACCACTACTAATAGTGAAAAGAATTATAAAATGAACCAGAGACTGTAACAGCAGCAGTTTCAAATACTGGAAGTAACATATCAGATTTTTACCTGTGTCCTAATAAATCCTTGATCACAGCGAAAAGCCACAGAGCTGCCCAGTTGAAACTGGTCACCATACCTTTGTCCATTGACAGGTACTCCTGGGTCGTGACATTCATTCTGACCAAATGCTTCAGAGAGACAACAATGAAGGAAAAGTTAAAACAGCAGCCATTAAACCTAGAACTAAATAAACAGCATGCAACAAAGGGAAATGACTTTGAAACAGAATGAGCATTTCAGAAAGCATGTGCATTTGTAATTTGAACAATGTTCCCCGGTTCTTCTATTTAGCTCAACAGCTGAAAATTAGTTCTACCAGAGAAAACCATTGCTGTGTTACTGTCAGTAAATGTGACATCTCCACTGATATGAAAATATGGGAATGGAATTATCTTCACATGAGTTCAACCTTGACATGTTTAGCTTATATTATCCCCATTCCAGAGATTAACCTGATCCCACCCAGAGCACACACCCAGTGATTGGACATGTCTCAGGTTGATTAGCTACTGATAGAAAGGAAATGAGAACAGGCAGAGAAAGGAGGACAGGAAAGAAACAAAAAACAAGAGAGGAAATGGCAGATATCCAAACTCAAAGAATATACACATACTGTATATTTCACATATTGTTTATCAGCAGATGGATACAAACACATTTGCATACATGTGCATGTGATCAAATCTACATGCGGGACACGTAAAGCCAAAAGCATTCACAGAAAATAACCACGCACACATTGACACAACAAAAATAATAAAAAGCTGATAAGCTTGTGGGAGATAAAAATCAGCCAGAGATGCATGCATGTTTTTATCCTTACACACATTACCATACTGGTAATGTACACAGGTACCCCGTGCACATTTACGTATTATGTATACTGTATACCTGGCACACATTACTCAATATATATACATATATAGACTCGATGTGTAAATCTAAATATCTATGAAAAACATACAAAATGACAATACACAAGTTTTTTGCTTTAATAAATATATACTGTATGTAAACTCAAAGGAGGGAGAAGAAAGACAAAAGCCAAAATGGAAGAGGAAAAAACAACCTATTTGAGTCTGGCTTAAATACCTGAGAGTGGTTGTGAGGGTGTGAGAGGAAAAAAAAAGTGTGAGACAAGATTGTGTCTGAATGAAAAAAGCAAAACAGGGAGGAAATCTGAGTCAGACTGAAAGCTGGAGATCAACACGATGGATTGAACAAAAGAGAAAATAAGGAAAAACTGCAGAATAATAAGGCTGAGACTGAGACAAAGATAAATAAAGACACGAACTCTGTATTTGACAGAAATGTGCTGAAAATTATGTGTCTGTGGGTTCTATTTTAAATCAAGCACAGTTTGAAAAGTGCAGCTTTGCACTAACAACGTGTGACATTTTCGGGAGCGCAGTGATGTTTTTTATTTTGTACACCACACGGCTTTGCTCTAACTTTGCAAAAGTCATTACATTATCAAATCAGGTCAGCAAAGCCCTGTCCTGCAGCTGAGAAGAGACTATCACAGCACCAGATTGTTTGGCAATAATGACAGTATTGTTTGGACACAGACCCATTTAAACATAGCACTGACAACCACAGCTGCCATTTCACTAAAAGTAAATCTTTACACATGTTAACTATACACTGTGTAGGATCAATTTACCTTGAACTTAAAGTCATAAATTAGAAATGTGTATATTTTCTTTGACAAGTCTGTGGCCCCCATTGCAGTTTGATGTGTGAAGGTTTATATTTGAGTTCCATGCTGTATAGCTAGATACTGATACACCCAGGGAAACACCCATCAACATTCATACAGTATATACATTATATTAAAATGTAAATGAATAAAATTACTGAAACAGCATAAAGATGCCTGATCTTTAAGTCCCTGGGTAGAACTGACAGCATTTACGACACTGAATTTTCAATTAAAGTCACAAAACGTTTCTTGATAAAAAAAATTTATGAATGTAGATACAATTTGGTTTTCCCTTTCCCTTCCTCTAAGAATATTAATATTTATCAATATAATACAAATTATACTGTATATGCATAAGGGGAGTATAAAGACTCTAAAGGCATGTTTTGGCTTCCAGTGGTGCATCAAACCATTAATTTGTGGCAGGATTAGCATGAAGAAGATGTTTGCATTAGGATTAAAGACAGGAGTTTTCATTGGACATGCTGTGATGCTGAAAAGGCAAAAAAAAAAAACACTTATTTGTCAAATGTCACCTCTCAAGGAAAAGCCAGAAACAAGGTCATTTGGGAAGTGACATGTGAAGTGGTGCAAAACTGGTTGGGAATCACAGAGAATTAACAAGAACCAGTCATGCAGAACTAGCTCAGCTTTGAGAAGATAAATATACTATACAGGCTGTGGTAGTCAGTTTCAAAGCTGACAATGGAACAAGCTTTACTAAGAAGAGCCTCAGTAAGACATAAACTTAGATGGTCAGTTGAAGGTGGTGTATTAATTATTTATCATCAGACTTTGGTTGGTGTATGATGAAAAGACATTTAATCCAAACCACTAACTGTATTTATACAGTGTTTAATATGTATGTTTGAAGGGGCTTTAAAGACCTGTTATTAGGGCCCTTTTTGACCATTTTTTTATAAAATGTATTTTGAACATATATAGTAGTAAACAACAAACCTGGCACACAATGAATGCCACTTTGCATATTCATGTTTTATAGTTTGTGTTGAATGTGATTCTACACTGACAGACACATTCAAAGGTGTTCAACCAAACTTACCTAATAACAGAGAGAACTAAAATAAAATACAAACCAGTTTGACAGGAAATTGGTGTTGAATACTTTGGCTGCTCGACTGAGGTGACTAGCACCACAAATATATGACACGGAAAATGCACTCAACTGCAGGAGGACTAATAAGTCAAACCTCACTTTGTGTTGTGGTGGTCATGGCAATAATAAATACAAATGGTAGATTTTGACGTACAGCCACACAGACAGACAGACAGACAAAGAATAGGTAGGTAGTAGGGCATACTGGTATAGCTGATATTGAAGCCTTTTCCAGTGTTAGAGTGATCAGACTGAAATTCCAATCTCATAATATGTCCGTTTGAGGCAATCTGTGATGGAACGTCTTTTCCTGAGAAGGTCCCAAATGTTGTTGGTTCAGACAGACCTAAAGCAGAACAGAGGATAGACCATCATTTAGAAACACATTTTAATGGGGCATTAGTGCAACATTAGGCCAAGGACTCACTTGGAAAGTGAAAGACAGGAAAGGAAAAATAAAACACCCCAAGAGACCTTGTTATTAGGTCCAGAATTTATTCATATCTATATTTATTCATACCCTTATCACACTTAGTAAGTCCTAATATGCTGTTTTAATGTTATTTTGTAGATAGATGCAGCCAATTTCCAAACCATTTTCTATTAAACTAAATACTACACTTCTCTAGGAGTCATCAGAGGAAAATGTTGTTGGTAGCACTATTAGCCCATCACCTGCCTGTCCGTTCATCATTTCAAATTAAAAAATTTAATGGAGTGAAAAGAGCATAATTCACTTCATTCACTTCTCTAATACTGATGGCACTAAAATGAAGAACTAATCTATTACAAGTCCTGAAATGAAATGTTTAACTAAGAATAACAAAAATGTATTAGCAACAAAGTGTGCCAAAATATCAGAAATATTCATGTCGAAGAACATTTCCTTTCAAACGATAAATTACTGATATTGTGTTAAAATTCTGTGGCTGTTCCTGGTGGAGTCTAGCTTGAGAGCATCTGACCATTGGGAGTTTTAATGACAGTGATGAGTCAGATTGTCTGTTGAGAATTTGTGTCTCAAAGGTTTGATGATTTTCTTTTTGGGCCATTTAAGGATGACTTGCTAAAGGTTTAGATACATTTCTGAAACTACTGAGATAATGCTGAGATGAATGTGCAAAAAAAAAAAATGTTATTTCTCATAGTCCGCTCCACAGATGGCATTCTGGAGATTTTTATCCAGCAGCATTATGTGTTGAACACATCACATGTCTGTGTAATCTCCACCTGCATTAAAACCAATAAATATTTGTCATAAAAAAACATTAGGTCTTCCAAACTCTTCTACCTCTGTGTAGCAAAAATGCACTTTGTTTTTATCAAATATTACAGGGGATATATACTAAGGTTTTGCAGCTCATTTTCTGGGGGTAAACAGTGAAACTGTGTGTTTATATTTACTAAGGAGTCACAGTGGGGTATTTCTGACAGATAAAATATGCATTCAGTGACTTGAAAAATACAAATCCCCAATCAATAGTGCACTGCACTACCTTCTGCCCTAATCATAGCTTCTGTGTGTCCTGGCAGTGACTTAGTAAGGGACCTGTCAGACTCTGGTATTAGAGGAAACCAGGCAAACATCAGTGCTTCACACAACTGTTGCACAGATGCTCTTTCCTACAGATGCTAGATTTAAGTGAGACTGATATAAGTGGACCGTAGTATCCAGGTCATTGATGTTATTTCACCTGAATGTATCTTGAACCACACATTCCCAGACAATTAGATCATCATGACAGCTTTAACTTGTTCAAAATACCCATCATT